GACAAGTATTGGGGTAATGTTGATAAAATAAACAAGATTTTGATTGTAGCTGTTGTGCTTGATCCTAGGTATAAGTTGGAGTTTGTTGTACATTGCATTGGTATCTTGTATGATTGTGTTAAGGTTGAAGCCATAAAAAATGAGGTCATGAAATTATTGTATGATTTGTATAACCAATACAAATGATGGCGTTGTTCAAAGAATGGAGCTAGTGGAAGTGGAAGTGCTGGCGCTGAATCTAATAATGGAGTCACTTTGTTGGAGTGTTCAGATGATGATGATGATTGGGATGATTGTAATTTTGATTTTGGGTACAAGAAAATGAAAACTAGCAAAATGGATTTTTCAGGAAAAGATGAGGTACAACGATATCTAATGGAACCCACCGAAGATGCTGCTGATGGAGATTTTAACATTTTACATTGGTGGAAGATTTCTAAATCAAGATTTGAATTTTTATCTGAGGTTGCAAGGGATGTTCTTGCCATTCCTGTATCTACAGTTGCTTCTGAGTCAGCATTTAGTGCTGGAGGGCGCATTCTTGATCCATTTAGGAGTTCTTTAACTCCTAAAACAGTTGAAGCCTTAATTTGTACACAAAACTGGCTAAGGGAGGATTCTAGACTCTTGAAAGTTTCCCAAGATGTAATTTGCATTGAAGAAACGGAGTTCTATGAGGAAATTGAGAAAGGTAATAAATATACATTTTTTTTTATTAAATCTTATTAGTTGAATAATTTTTCGGATATTTGTATTTGTTAATTGTGCCTTTTCAATTATGCTTGTAGAGTTTCTTAATATGACAAGTCAAGTAATTGATGATTAAATCAGATAGTTGGTAAGTATTACAATACTTAAAAATATTTTATTTTTATAACTTTTAATTTTTATTTCATTTTCTTTATGCATGCAGGCTGCTTGAACTTGAAGTTGAAACAAGTGAGTTTACTTTATGTAGTATTGCTGTAATATTAATCTTTACTTTTTGGTATTTGTATACATTGAATTAATCTTATTGAACGACTGTTATTTATATGCTTTTGAATTGGGCTACGTTAATTTGTAAAAGTTAACTATGAGACTCTCAGCCGAGACTCTATATAAGTGGATGAGACACTTTAGCCGAGACTCTTTGTAAGTAGTTGAGGCCCTTCAGCCAATGCTCTTTATAAGTGGATGAAACCCTTTAGCTGAAACTCTTTTTAAGTGGATGATGCCCTTTAACCGAAGCTCTTTATAAGTGGATGAGGCCCTTCAGACGAGGCTCTTATAAGTTAATGCCATGTCGGCAATGTGGGACCCTTCACACCATGTATGTACCACGTAACCTCGGTCTATTGCCTTACCGGGATCTTTGACATGTTGGACCTCCTTTTGACTTTTCCTCGCGAGGTGCTTATTCCTCCCTATTCAAAATATATTGCTCAATGGTGATATTATTCTAAAGCACTCCACTAACTGCTTCATCATAAATAAGTCATGACATAGAAAATTGGGATTTTCTTGATGCTGAAGACTTATTTGAAAATTTCCAATCACGATGATTTGGAGCCCACACATGCTTTTATTTTAAAGCCATCAAATCCCGTTCATTCATCCACTTTGAATTTGTGAAATTATTTTAGCACCAAGTGAACTATTTGTTTATTGCTACTGGAGCTTCAATATTGAAAAAGATGGATAGTGGTAAAATTCTTTTATTTGCATGCTAATTTTACAGCAACTAGACTATTTGATCTGTGTATAAATTAAATCAATATCCAAGATAACGAATTGTGAAAGTATGTGAAATTTGCTATTGTAATTCTTCATGATTTCGTGCATAGACTACAAAATTCATTTGCGCCAAATAAATTATTTTTACAATGCACGCTAAGTATTCGTTAAATTGCTTAGCTCGGATGTTCTCTAACCCTATCATCTTCCTCTCTTGTATTTATATTTTCCTCGTCCGACAGTTGACTTGACTGTCGGAGTGCGAATGATCGCCGGACCTTTTCCTTGACCAGCAACCTTTGCCTCCTAACTGGGGTGTTCAGTGTGCAGGTGATGTCCACGTGGAGAGGACGTGACAAAGATTCTATTGAGCTCATTCTTTGGGGTAAACAATTTCCATGAGATCTTAAACATGGTTTAATTGCATTATTTTACAACAACTTGAAAGGTTGCATAAAACTCAAATCTTTTCAAACAACAAACTAAAAATATATACTCTTTGAAAGACAAATCGATGACCAAAAAAAAAGAAAAAAAACTATTTTGGGAGTCTTTTCAAAGCACTACACATTTGAATATCCCTCCACAAAGTCTTGTCGCCCTTACTACTGTCTTTTGTTAAACAAGGAAATTTTACGTATATAATTTGTACAAAGAAATGGAAACATCTGCATTTGTGTTTGATTCTCGTTATTTCAAAATTAATCTTTTTTTAACTCATTTCTAACTACGCATTTTCTCAAAAAAATGATTTTTCAATTAAACATTTGAATCTTGTATTTAATTCAACTCATTTTCGGACATCATCGATGATTGTTATACTTAAGAGGGTGTATTCTATTGAGATTTTTAATAACTTTTTGAGATTTGAAATGTTTAGCGGTATTCAATGTAGATTTTTGAAAACTCTCTAAAAGTATTTGTGTATTCAATTGAGATGTTTATAAACTTTTAAAAAGTTTCTAAAAGTTACCGTACATTCATTTAATTTTTTTAGAAATCTCTATAAATTTTGGGATATTCAAATTTTAATGACTTTTAGAGAGTTTTATAAAAGTCTTCATGGTACTAACTTTTGAACAGAAAATCAAAATTTGTGTATCATTAATCACAAGATTTTGGGAGACTTTCAAGGGAAAAAAATTAATGTGTATTTTTTTTCAATATTTATCTTTCATTTTCTCTTTTATGAACATTAGAGTTATGATTAAAATTTATTTTTTTCTATTGACTATATTAGTTTTTATTTTTATTTTTCTCTCTCTTATTGTTTATTTCTATTTTCTATGAAAAAATTAAATTATATCATTATTACTTTTTTCTTTTTTCATTCATTTTTTAATGAAAATTATCTATTTTTAATTAAATTATAAAACTTTATATAGTCTAATTTATAATTATTTAAAGTATTTTTTTTATTCTTTAAAGGTATATTATATTAATAATTCTGAATATGAAAATTATTTTTTATATGTATTATTATTTATTTAATTAAGATCTTAAATTTTTATTATTTTTAAAATATTTTTTTGTTATATGTGGTGAAGAAGGGGAAGGGTAAGGGTAAGGGTAAGGGTAAGGAGAAAGGGAATTGTGAGAACCTCGTATATAATAATTTCACATTTTTACACTTGATTCGTATGAATTTTATGTCAAATGAAAGTTTTCAAAAATCTTTTGAATTTTACAAAAGTCTTTAATAATTTTAAAATGAAAGTCTATATAAGTCTATAAAAGACTCTCACTAATTTTATACAAATCTCTAAAAAAATTCACGAAATTCACAGAAATCATCATTTAAAAAAGGTCCAGCAAAATTTTCAAAAATTCCAATGGAATACAGTTGATGAAGATAAGGTCAACTGTGTAAAGAAATAGGCCCGACCCGAAAAATGAAGTGACGCGTGCAACTGGTCCTCAAAGAATCCGTATAGTTTATGTTGTACCTTTCAAACGGTCACGAAATTAATTAAATTAATATTCTAAAAGGCTCCTCTGTAAAAAATAATTCATCCCTTTCCTCTTCATTTCTCTCTCTCTCTCTCTGTAGACTCTCCGAGATCCATCTCCTCTCATTCTCTCCTCTACAGTTCGATCTCCAAAACCTAACTCTCTTCATTTTCGAAATTCGACTTTTTGAAACAAATTAATTTGTTTTCTTTGTCGCGAGAAAGAAAATAACTGTGGAGGAATTATGAGGAAGTGGAGGTTGATTGGTGGTGGGGTTGCAGTACAGTGAAATGGGTGTTGGTTTTGCAAAATTCAGTTGGTTTAATTGTTTTTTTTTTTTTTGAGTAAATTAATTTCTTGAACAACGTTTGTTGTTTTGCTCTGATCCGATCAAGAAATAGCATTGGAAGCGTCGCCGTTTCTTTTGAATAATAGATTTTTTTAGAGGTTGAAAAACAAAGAATTAAAGATGCAGCAAGATCAGCGAAGGAAGGTATATATAATTTGTAATATTTATATTTTGTTATGGTTATATTTTCTTTCAACCCTACTTAAAGAAATTAGAGATCTTGTTTGTTTATGTGTACACGATGGCAAATCTTAAACTATTTTGGAAATTTGGAATTAAATAGCCTTTTAGAGTAGAGCGGAGATTTTTTAAGAAATTTAACTTGTCTGAAGTTTAGTTTTTCAAGGTCATTTCTTCCATTGTTTTTTTACAGCCAATTACAGAGTTGGTTGGTTATTCTTTTTTGGTTTCAGAATAGTTGAAGTGTTGATTTCAGAGAACTGGAAGTTGTTAAAACTCGAATGTATTATCATCTGTTGATGTTAGTTCCCCAGGTCTTAATGAAAATAAATATGATTTTCTCAACTTAGCTGAAGTTTGATATCAACATATTTAGATGTTGTTTTATGAGAATTTGTTCGTTTACAAAATTGATTGGATTCTGGATTCTTAAATTTTTAATGACATGGTTTACTGGTTTAGTTTGGATCTCTATAAATTTATTTCTTATCAAACAATTTTTTTAATTATATTAAATATATTCTGGCTGTTATAAATGTCTTTTCAAGCATTACGTTTTGTTAAGACATAATAGATTATTTTCTTTTAAATTGATTGGCTTTTCTGGCATATGTTTTGAATGGTTAAATTTTGGGTGAAGTTACTGGTCTCTCGACCATGATTTGACTATGTTTTAATGATTTTGCAGAACCCCAAAGAGACAGAATTTTTTACCGAGTATGGAGATGCCAACAGATACAAAATTCTGGAAATTATAGGCAAGGGAAGCTATGGAGTTGTTTGCGCAGCAATTGACACACATACTGGGGAGAAAGTAGCAATAAAGAAAATAACAGACATTTTTGAGCATATCTCTGATGCTATTCGGATTTTGCGTGAAATTAAGTTGCTTCGCCTTCTACGGCATCCTGATATTGTAGAAATTAAGCGGATCATGGTGCCACCCTCTAGACGGGAGTTCAGAGACATTTATGTTGTTTTTGAGCTTATGGAGTCTGACCTTCATCAAGTCATTAAAGCTAATGATGACTTGACACATGAGCACCATCGTTTTTTTCTCTATCAGATGCTACGAGCACTGAAATATATGCACACAGGTAACTAGGCAGTGCACATAATAAGGATCTTACTGAATTGCTTGTCATTTGTATATAGATAATCATCCTGCATCTATCCTCATCTCAGCCTTTTCTGTTTTCTTTTTCTTGTTTTCCTCCAGATAATCATCCTGCATCTATCCTTATCTCAGCATTTTCTGTATTCTTTTTCTTGTTTTCATCAAGTGTTGGCTTGGGAAGACTATAATTTAACATGGTAATTATCAACTTTATAATTCATATCCAGAGCTGTTTGGTTTTCAGCTAATGTATATCATCGAGATCTTAAACCAAAGAATATTTTGGCAAATGCAAACTGCAAGCTCAAAATATGTGATTTTGGACTAGCAAGAGTGGCATTCAGTGATACCCCAACAACAATTTTTTGGACGGTATTATTTCTTATACTTCAATTCTAATAGTTTTGAACCTTTTGTCAACCCATCGATATGGAATACTAGTATGTTTATTGTTCTAGTTTCTGGAAGTGTGTCTGTGTTCATAATCTTTTCTGATTCTTCTCTAATAACCTGCAGGATTATGTTGCTACAAGATGGTATAGGGCTCCTGAGCTGTGTGGATCTTTCTTTTCCAAGGTAATGGTGGTATTGTCATTTGTGGCCGTATTGTTCCTTTTTCAATTTTAGATCCTGCCATAATGTGCTGCGAGCATGTTTATGTGGGTTTTTTCGCACCATAATGTCAATCCAATTTATTTCTTCTTTGTTGGTTTATATAATTATGTGAACTGTGTGAAATATTAACATCATTTTTCAAATAATCTACACATTGTGTTTTCGGTCACTTATTTTTTACCGATTCTATTAACATTCCCATGCATCTGGTTCAACCATTATCCAGATGATGTGTGATCATGTTTCTTGATTGCCTATTATCTTCAATCTGAAAGGATGAAACCATAATTGTCACCTCTTGGAATTACCATTTTGTATGCCATATGCAATCATGTGCTTAATATCAGATTGCAGTTACAATATTCATTGATTCCCAAGCATCCATCGGAACTAGGCAGGTATCCCTAGTTCAGCTTTGTACATAAATACTTGGCTACACTCTATTGTAACTCTTGAGTTCTGTGAGCTTCATCCCCCTTCATTTTTCTATAGCTTTTTACCTTATAAGAAGCTAAAAGCAGTTAGTATTTGCAAATTCAAGTGTGTAGTAATTTCGTATGTCATGCCCAACATTGTTAAGTCTGGTTCCTTAGTTTGCCCGGAGTATTTCAATAATTTATTACAGAATATGTGTTGAGTGCATTAGATAGCCAGTAATGCCTAACCTAGATTAAAACAATTCTTATTATTGTGTTCAGTTATTTTGTTCTTGACTTCTTGTAAATATATTTTATGTGTTGTACTGTGCTGCAGTATACACCTGCAATCGATATTTGGAGCATTGGCTGCATCTTTGCAGAGGTATTGACAGGGAAGCCATTGTTTCCGGGTAAAAGTGTTGTGCATCAATTGGATTTGATTGCAGATGTTCTTGGAACACCATCAGCAGAAACCATTTCTGGAGTATGACATGTCATCCTTTAACTTTATACTTGGGTGCTTGTATGGTGTGGTGGTTAACCTTTGAGATTTATATTCATGGATGCAGGTGCGTAATGAAAAGGCAAGAAAATATTTAACAGATATGCAGAAAAAGCACCCAGTGTCTTTTGCTGAGAAGTTTCCTACTGCAGATCCTTTGGCAGTCAAATTGTTGAAACGGTTGTTAGCATTTGATCCAAAGGATCGGCCAACTGCTGAAGAGGTGAGTTTTGCCATATTATTAGTTGCATTCTATAACCTGCACGTTCTAAAAATAGGTATTACCTGATGGAGCTTTCGTCAAGTTTTCTTTTTTTGTATTTATTTGGCTTCTGTTTTGGTATTATTGGGTTTATTAGGCATTGGCTGATCCTTACTTTAAGGGACTGGCTAAACTTGAGAGGGAACCTTCTTGTCAGCCAATTTCAAAGCTGGAGTTTGAGTTTGAGCGTCGACGGGTGACTAAGGAAGACGTCAGGGAATTGATATTTCGAGAAATATTAGAATACCATCCTCAACTACTCAAGGACTACATGGCAGGAAATAATGGCACAAGTTTTCTCTACCCCAGGTTTTAAACACCTTCATTCTACCAGATCTATGAAATTGTAGCCTTATATTTGTATACATGAATCTCATTCTGTGATGGTATTATTTGCACTATGCAGTGCCATTGGTCATTTCAGGAAGCAATTTGCCTATCTTGAAGAAAATCTTGGGAGAAGTGGACCTGTGATTCCTCCTGACAGAAAGCACGTCTCTCTTCCACGGTAAGATTTTTTGTTTGTTTAATTTTTGGGGGTCTCTCTTATTTTGGGATATGTACACGTGTGCACACACAAATGATTAACTCTTATTATCCCATATATACACATGCGCGCATGCTCAAGTGCTGCTGAAGTAGGTAATATTCTCGGTTTCCCTTTTTGTTTCTTCATTCTTTTTATTTTTAATCATGAAATTACTCATTTATCGAAAAAGAAGAGACATGCGTCTCAAGAAGGTAGGAAGAATACTCTTTAAGAACAAAGATGAATCAGCATATGCATCAGTGAGGTGCCAACTCCAATTTTCACTGAACAAACAACTGATCTCGAGATGTCCGCCTATTCTTTTGTATTCTTGCACTCAACTTATATGCACCTTGTGTATTGCTGCAAAAGAATGCCAGTTTTTTTGGAAGATAACGAGACTCGAACTGAGGGTGTCCTCTTCTTTTGTTATTATGCATCCAGTCCTTATGGAAGATAACAAGAATTGATGGCGTCCTCTTCTTTTGTTGTTGTGCATGTGTATTTATACATCTCTGATACCAGACAGAAAATGAGGTAGTTTGAGTCATGTTTCAAATCCTTCTCTCCTATTATGCAGGTCTACAGTAAATTCAAGTACCATACCTCCAAAAACCCAACAGAACGTGTCGGCACTCAATCATCGGCAAACTACAGAAGAAATGTCCAGTGGGATTATAAATTCAGATGCCACATTTGGAAATGTATCGAAGGATGCACGTCCACCCCCGCCGCGGGTGCCCACTGGTAGGTTTTCTACTTTGGATTATCATTTTTGTTGTTACTAGTAACTTCTATGAGATGTGATGTCGAGTGAAGCCGTTGGAATCACAAAAGAAAGCATAATTTACCATGGGAATTTGCGGTTCAGCATGAGGAACAATTCGGATAATAACCATATGCGCTTTCCATTTTTTAACAATGGAAAAACTCTATATAAAGCAGTGAACAACTCTGTAATATTAAAATTTCAAGAGGAGAAGGGGGTGTCAGTAGTGCCGTTCAAGAACGGGAATAGTAGAGAGCACATCATCTAATATTTGGTTGGGGTCTTTAGAGTATTCATTCTGTATGAAATTGACTACACCTTCTATGATTATGGTATGATTTTCTTTCCAGTAACAATAATTTCAGGGGGATCTTGTATTTATAGAAAGCTGGGTTGAATAGAATGCATGTTTTATTTACTATATATATAATACTACAGAAGTTTGTACAGTTTGACAGGGAAGTTACTGCGATACTACGTAATTATTTGGTTTTATATAAGTGACATCTTCTGATGTGCAGCCAAGCCAGGAAGAGTTATAGGACCAGTTTTACCGTATGAGAATCTCAAACATATGAAAGAAACCTCTGATAGGAAGATGCATGTTCAGAACGCTATTCTTCCTCAGTCAATCTCTCCGCATTATTTCTTTGGGACTAATTCTGGGAAGAAACACGAGAAGGGCTGGACAGAAGCTGAGAAAGAATCATCACAGGTCAAATCACTATCTCAGCAATACACGTCAGTTAAATCAACATCTAGTACAAGTGACATCAACAGAGCACAACCTCAGCCATACATGCAAACTAAATTAAACCCAGGGATGAATATCGAAGTTAACAGTAATCCATATTACAGCACACAAGCAAAAGTAGGCCTCAATAGCCAGCTTTCAATCGATGTGAAATTGCTGCAGGCTCAATCTCAATTCGGTATAGTTGGGGCTGCTGCCGTTGCTGTGGCTGCTTATAGAGAGGTTAGTGATGTTCAGCTTGGATTGACTTAGTAGTGATTTCTCTGAATGGTCTTGCAATGACCTGATCAGTTTATTCAGATAACTGAGGGGAAGACGATAGCCTGCAAAAGTACGAGTTGTGAACTCCTACATAGAATGATGTGTATAAATTGTCAAACCATTCACACGGTGTTCCCCTTACGATAGAGTGAGTGATTTTATCTTATCAGAAGAGAGTTTCTAGTTTAGGTCACTGTAAAATGTCAATTGTCACATTATTGATTGATAAATAAAAGATAACTTTTCATTCAATTTTCCAGGTTTTCTTGCTTTTGCTTGAGCTTTAAAGGTGTATTACGTGAACTGTATATGAAAAGAGTTTGTTATGCTCTAATGGAGTGCCAGATCTTGAGACATTTCGAAACAGATAACTCTGCACTTAGTACCATCAAATGACTACATCAAATTTTAGCTCTTCCCTTATCTTGATTATTTCTTGTCTACCCTTTTTCCTTTATATTTCTCTCACCAATTTGGATGCAATTACACTCACAAAAAGCAGCTACTGGTAAAAATGGTAGATCAACTGTGAAAACTGATTAACAATCTCATATTCGGACATATGTTTGTAAGAAATAACCTCAAGTTGATCAATGTACAAAACTGAAATCTGGTGATGATGGAAACCTGATCAGGTTCACTTTCTCAATTTAACATAATAGCATGAAGTGTCATTAATGTTTTTTTTTTTTTAAATCAATTTTGCAAGTCTTTCTTGTGGATTAGTGGAATCCACCATAATAGACACCCCACAGAATAGCTTCCACCTGCAATTGCAAACCGGTCGAAAGTATTGGTAAAACATCACTGGAAAGTGAAAAACACCACTTTATTAATTTGGTTAATATAACCAGTAATGTCAATCAAGTTTATACAAAGTGATTCAAACTCATTAGTTATCTCAGTCCCCAACAATCAACTCTTACTTGCGCACTTGTATATAATTTATCTCTTTTCGATATTTTCTTTTCAACTCAATATTGACCTCGCCCTTTTCTCTTCTTAACCCCTGTAACGAGCTTTTAGTCGACAACTTTCCAATTTTTGAATATCAAAAGGTAGCAAGTTTCACGATATGCTTACAGACTTACTAACTCGAATAAAAAGGGTGAATGCATGAGGCGTAAACTAAATAGGTGCAATGCATCTATAAAAGAAAAAAATTTACAGAGATTAGATCTCTAACATTTGGTCATCACCAAGTTCATACTAGAAAGTCAAAGACGCTCCAGACAATCTTTTTCATCATGCACGAAATCACCACAATCTTAGATCATTTCTTTTATCGATTCGAACACCCCAAATTATAAGATATACGTTTAAAGGATGTTGCGAATCATAGGTTAAGGAATTAAACATCTAAGTCGTCTATTCAACCTATTTGTAGGAATCTTCACGTTCATGTATGATGTGCTATACTCAATTATTGTACATAAATATTGTCATGTTTTACATGGATAAGCAAAAGAATTCAACTAAAGCACAAAATTCATCAACAATCCATAAACATTAATTCATCATGCATAAGGCTATCCAACTCACACAAGAATACATAAAAAGAATGTTTTTTTAACCCATAAAATGCATTAAATAAAATCATATCACACAAGCACTCACATACTACACATGAAAATCTTTTTTTTTTTTTTTTGAAATTTTGAAATTTTTGAAATTTCTTCAATTTTTTATTTTTTTATATATAATAAAGAAGTAGAAACACACAATCTTATAAAAATAATAAAAATAAAAATCCAATATTTTTTTCTACCTTCAAATTTAAAGTAGACATTGTCGTCAATGTCTTAAAATATAATCTAGTACATAAAGGGGCTGTGAAGAAAGGAATAAGATACTCCTTGAATTTTTTTTATTTGATATTGGAAGTAGATTTTTTGGATCATCCAATTCCATTCTTCAACTTGTTAAGCTTCCTTCCATTCCATATATCAGTACCTTTAAAAGAAGAAGACAAATATAAGAGTAAAAAAAAATGGTTTGTGTATGATAACGAGTTTTTTTTTTTTACGTCCCTAGAACCTTGAAAAATGCGCCACATATATTTTCAATTGTTTTTCTCTCAAATATATGATTTTCTTTTAAAGGTTTAATATAGATACGATGCCCCTCTTATTGAAACAAAACATTCCTAAAACGAATGCACATTAATAGACTATATGCAATGCAATTACATGCAACATAATAAATAAAAGGGTAAGAAGTTGAGTTGCCTTCCAATAAACGTTTAATTTAAAGGCTTTAGCTAGACTTTTGCACAAGTGCTTCATGGCACTTTGAATATGGCTTTGGAGGTCCTGCTTAGCTCGCTCAATTTGACTTTGTTTCATATTTCACACGTCCTCCAAAATCATACTTTGACTTTTTGAATACAATATGACTTGCCAAAATTACCCAATTCGAACTCAATTAAAAATACTTCAATTTCCTCATCAACTTTAATCACAAAATCAATGAAGTTGGAGGTTTACTTGCTAATCTCGTCTTCTTTGAATGCTACTAATTCATTTGGCTCCTTCGTGATTAATTTATTCGTTTCTACATGTTCTTCTTCTTTAGTTGGTTCGCCGGGTTGAATAATGAAGAGATCATTCATTGACATGCTATTTGACTTATCTGAAATTACTTGATCTTCCATCCTTTTATATTTTTGCATGATGATATCTCCCGCAACTATTTCCCCATCATCATCTTGTTTTTCATATGGACCCTAGAAGATAGATTTCCTTACTTCCTTTGGAGTTGTCAATAACAAGTAATTTTTAGTATAATGCAATGCATCACAATATTCACAAGTAGGTCTAATCTCTCCATAAACAATAGATTTGATATTTAGTCCTTTCGAGAAGCCATCCTTATTAAATATAATAGGTTGATTGTATCCCCACTTTTTAAGTTCTCGTTTGAAGAGAAATTCTACGAAGAACGTGTCACCTTTATTTAAGTCGGAATCAATCATTATGAATTTTTGACATTTTTACTTCTTTTTCATTTCCTGTCAATTGAGTAAAAAATAGTAAATCAATTTAAAAAGAAAAAGAAAAAAATTTATACAAAAGTAAGAAATAATTTAAACCAATATTAAATAAAAATAGTCTCCAACAACGGCGCCAAAAATTTATTGTCGATTTTTATATCTCGTAAATGTAAGATATTGTAATTTAGTGAACCAATGAGTCCGGATATCGTTCTCACGAGAACTATTATCTAACATTTGGTTAAATTATTCCTAACTTTAATTTGATCTTAAACAAATAATAAAGTTTGTGATTGATGTCTAAATTATTCTAATTAAACTAAATTAATGCAGCGTACACAATTTATCGCATTTGTGTTTTAAAAATATGAATGTGGATACTAGTATCTCTACACTTCATACTAAATTAACGAATTTTAATATGTGATCTAAATTTAAAACTCACATCTCGATTCGTACTAGATTCACAAAGTCATTGAATAATTAGCCAAAGAATTCAAAACATTAAATTCATGAATAAAATCAACACATATGCATTTCAAGAACTAGAATCTTGAATAAAAGAAATACAATGTCACACATAAATTTGGCTACTCATAATAATGAAAGAAAAACAAAATGTATAGAGTTCATAACCGGGTTTTAAAATGTTGATCATGGAAAGAATTTGATATTGCACCAAGAATCTTCTTCAACCTCAAAAGTCTTCAAACCCTAGATTTTGCTCTTTAATCTTGATGATTATGTGTTTTTCTCCCCCAAATTGTGTGGAACTCTCTCAAAAGTGTCAAAAACTTGTATTTATATTTATCCTCACGTTTGTGTCGAATGTATGGCTTTTATGGGCTTCAAAATTGATCAAAAATGCGCCCTAGATACACCTAGGCGGTGCCTTAGCACCATAGGAGTGGCGTAGCGACTCTGTTTTGTGCATGATAATGCCACTTTTCGGGGTGAAAATCCGCATTGCACTTTTTTTAATATTTTTATCATAACTTTCTCTTCCGATTTTTGATTGAGACGATTCAAATTGAATTGTAAAGATAACTTAAAGGGGGCTACAACCTTACTTGAAATAGATATTTTTCAATTCGAACGTTTACTAGGTCAAAATGGGTTTCAATCTTGAGCTAAATATTTAGAACATGCTTGTGCGGTTGAAAATTGATTTGTGTCCATATTTTGATCATATTTCACTCATTTTTGACTTCTAATTGCATCCAATTGACCCCTAGCATTTTCGAATCTTCATTATGAGATTCGACACAACTTTTGAGTATTTACACTTTAGTCCCTAAACTTTGAATCTTGCCTATTTTTACCCATTTTCTGCTTCTTTTTTTCAATTCCACTTCCATTCATCGAGTTTCACTTAATAACACATTACATAATAAATTAGGCTATAATTTCATTTGTGCATGATAATGCCACTTTTCGGGTGAAAATCCGCATTGCATTTTTTTTAATATTTTTATCATAACTTTCTCTTCCGATTTTTGATTGAGACGATTCAAATTGGATTGTAAAGATAACTTAAAGGGGGCTACAACCTTACTTGAAATAGATATTTTTCAATTCGAACGTTTACTAGGTCAAAATGGGTTTCAATCTTGAGCTAAATATCTAGAACATGCTTGTGCGGTTGAAAATTGATTTGTGTCCATATTTTGATCATATTTCACTCATTTTTGACTTCTAATTGCATCCAATTGACCCTTAGCATTTCCGAATCTTCATTATGAGGTTCGACACAACTTTTGAGTATTTACACTTTAGTCCCTAAACTTTGAAATTCGCCTATTTTTACCCATTTTCTGCTTCTTTTTTTCAATTCCACTTCCATTCATCGAGTTTCACTTAATAACACATTATATAATAAATTAGGCTATAATTTCATTAAAAGAACTTAGAAATGTTAATATTTTAGAGCTCGAATAAGTGTGTCATTTCAATTAGAAAATGTTGTAATGGAAACCAACTTTTAAGAGAAAAAAATGGATTACTAAGTAGGGCTCCTTAACATTTCAATTAGAGTGATTTTGACTTTCCAAGGTAAATTTTTTGTCCCAATGTAAGAAAAGCAATGATAAAATAGTATGCGACTTTCACATTGAAGGAAAAATCATCAAAGATTTAACATTGGACCAGATTAACATAATTAATGTTGCTTTCAAGTGTCACAATACATGTTGTTGATCACCAATCATACATATTGGCATCTTGCCTCAATTTTCTCTCTGTGACGTCGCTCCACAACTGCAAATATTATGCCAACAAAGCAAATAGCAATCTAGAACCTGAACTGATGTATACAAGTTATCATATAGAATTTTTGGAGTACTCGTCTTAATAGCTCATTCGACTTAAAGGTGGTGTCTCATCATAACTGTAGCTTGCCTGTAGTGACTCCCTCATTATGGTACCCCAAACATAGGCCTCTTCGCCCATAAGTATCCTAACCTTGTAAGGAGACCATATACACTCCTTTGAGGTGGTTAAAGTTGTCCCATAGGTAGGTGCCCTTTTTCCTCAAAAAGTGTTGGCCCTTGTGCATGGGCAGAATTGGTGGGTACTCAACAAGCATGTTTCTTTTTTTAACCCAAACCCTATTTTTCCATCAAAATGCATTCTTATATTATATTATCTCTCGCTTATCCAACTTCCAAATGACACACCTAGTACATCAATTTTTCAATTTTATTACGCAAATTTCAGAGCATCCAAATGACATTTACAATACTCTGTTACACACAATGTTTGATCATTACATGAATACCAACACTGAAGAAATTCTTGGGAAATAAAGTGATTCATTGAACTTTAAGCATAATCCTATACACATTCATCTTAGTTTACTAATTATGCTAACGCAAAATGCACACTATTGAGTATTTTCACTTGTGTTTAAACTTAGCAATTAACAATCCAAAACTTATTATCATGGCTGAGTTTACCGTTCTTCATGAACTCGAGTACCACCGCTCCTCAACTGCTGTCCAAGTCTGAGAATTAACTCTTCCCTACCAAATAATGAAAGAAACAAAGGGATATGACCATAGTACACAAACAAAGGACGCTACCGAAGAATTTCATCATTTAAAATTGTAAAAAGGAATATAGGTTTATCTTTACCTTTCCATTGATCATGCCATGGGACGCCAATAAAGGTACGCTGGAGTTTTCTCCTGATGCATTTTTGTAGTAAGAGAACAAAACTAATTGTATAATTGCTAGAACAGTTCCTATTCCATTTGGGACCTGTAGTACAGACATTAGATCCAAAGTCAATATAAAAGACAGAACGTAAATACAGCATTTCTACTGAAACAGGTAGGAAAAACTTACATATATAAAGGGATCGAAACTGAAGATTCCATACAAAAGAAAAGACGTGCTCATCAAAAAAGTGGAGAGGGACAGATAAAACGGCATGAATTCAACACTCCTCGTTTTGATCACCAGATTCTGTCGAACATATATTGATCAATGTAAGTGCACCAACATAAAACTAATCGATGAAATTAAGAAAATGCATCGATCTTATCTTAAATGCAGCAAGCACGCACAATAATAAACAAAGGGGAAGCCAGCATTGATACGAGGGAAGCGCTACTCAGGAACCCAATGGTGAGGTGACGAACTTCAACGTCTATTATGAGCAAGCTCCCAATGACGATAACAGCAAATATGCCGGAGACTGCCAATAGCAATCCAACCATCCTCACCTGCTAGCAACATCCAAATATTTACCAGATGATTAAATTAACGTAGGCGGCCAAAACAAGAAGAATAAGTTTACCTTTTTTGTTTTCTCAGCGTATATTATGAAGAGGATAATGTAGACTATCTGGAAAACTGTACCAACCGAATTTACGGTGGTAACCGACAAATTATCAGAAGATATCAAAGGCGAACCGTACCAGGCACAGATTAAGCAGTTCAAGAGCGCGTATATATATGGCAACCCCGAGAATTGTTCTGTCGATTCGTTCCTGATTATTCTACGGAACGTTGGCCTGGAAATTAAGGGGGAAAAAAAATCAGAGGATGGCTCCATGCTGCTGCATCAAATAGTATCAAGTATTTCCTAATAAACTCACACTGGAGATACAAACAACCCCAAAGCAAAGATGTTACCTGCAATATATAATTCATGAGCTTTTATTCAGTCAAACAAGAAAAGAAGATCCAAGTAAAAGAACTAACCCATTTGAAGTATCAGTGGAAACAATTCCCAAGCTAATAAACTTATAGTCGGATACGATAACACACTTTATAAACAATAATTATAATTCCCTGTATACTCTTTGTTATCCATAAATACTACGATGACGCACGTACCCGCGATTCCAGCTGCATCTTTGCAAACAGATAAAGTTTGACATGAACCCAGAAAAACCATCAAATCCACTTTTGTTTCTGAAAACCCCAAATTCTAAACAACAATTCTTCTTTTTCAGCTCGTTTTCTCCCTTTATTTTCTTTGTATATACAGTGAAGATTCGTGTTTAGAAACTGCTAAAAGTAATTGCCGTAGTATAATTGTCTTTGACGCGGCTTTTCTGACCCACTCAATTGCCTGATTTTATTTAGAAATAGAGTAATGCTAACGGCCTCAATGTATTTTTGAAAGTTGAATGCATTTATCATTATCGGAAAGCGACTTTTCTTCATTTATCTGTGGTCCATATATTTTGATGACAAACGGAGGCGCGGCACAATTTAGAATATACTTCTTCTTTTTTTTATGTTAATTAAAATCTGATTGAATTGTAAATGATTGTTCATACGATGACAGTTGTGAGTCGATTATCGTTTTTAAAAGAATTGTGTTAGTCCGGTGAAAATTAAAATCAAGATTTTTATCCAAATCAAAATCAACAAATCACATATTTTATGAAATTCATAATTTTCTACCATACATTTTATCAACATCTATCAAAATATACTAAAAATTTAGTTTTAATCCCCATCAAATAATATCACAGCTGATCAATTTCATTAGAATAATATTTACTCCGTTGTGCATTAGTTTTATCGAAAATTATAAAGTCTAATAATAAACTTGTCTAATTTTATAAAATACTAGTTTTTGGCCGTATGATGTACGGGTTTGGTTATATTGCTGGTATCGTTAGCGTTCCAAATGGGTTGAGTCATGTACCCATAGTTATATATGTCACCTGACATGCAAAAATTTCGTCCACAGAAATGCCATTGAATTGCCTGTGAAATATTTTTTGTTAAATTCAAGAAGTAGAGTTTGGAAAAATGATAAGCTACTTATGAATAGGAAAGTAAACTTGCAAAAAATAATAATAAAAGAACAAGAATCTTTAAAATAGAAATGGAAGAAGCAAATCTGGAAAAAGAGAAAAACAAAAAGTAGAAGAAAATAAAATTATAAATTGTTTCTAAAAATGAAATTATGTATAGAGAAAGTATAGCCTCACCGATTATGAAAAGATTTCAATTTTGTAGCCACTGGAAGCGGGCATAGATAGCCAGGCCTCATCTAAAGAACCATGAGACAACCCATACAGAAAATTAGATAAATGGAACAAAAAAATTTGTGTAAGAAAGCTAAAGACAAAAAAAAAAAAAAAATAGACTTGGATCTTGTGGTCTCTGAGAAAAGGGTGATTGGAAGCTGGTTGATGAAAAATGTAGACAGTCAATTATATATCCATATGGACTCTGTTTCATAATTAAAAATACATCAATTAACAAAGAAAATCTCTTCTTTTAAAATTAAATAACAAAAGTAGGAAATAATGTCAAACTGGTTATATTATAGCAAGAGAGTGAGTAACGGTATTGCCCATATTGAAATAAGCACCTTAGGCTACCTTTGGCACATAGCATATAAGAAATTATGCATAAAATTAGAGAAGACAGTAATAAATCAGTATTAAGGTGGATATTATTTATAAGTTTTTCATTCAAGAGCATGCTATTCGCACCATCTTTACATAGTTTAATTCGTTGTAGCAAACATATTGTAACGATTTAGCGAGTTTATGTTTTGGCACATAGGATTGGACCATCGAATCACAACCTCTTCCAATGATAAACTTGCTAAATCGTCCTCTTGGAACATTTTTATGACATCAAATTGGCATATTTATTTCAGTAACAAATGAATCTTGTTATTCAGAATTTTATATCAAAACCAACAAATTATGAAGCTATGTTAAAACTTTTGGCCTGTATGCTAATGTAACAAATGAAATACTTCATATATAGGTAACGAGATTGAGAATATACCTATCAATATGAGAAAATAAAATTCTTCGACGACATAATCACCACTGGTATTTTCTGCAACTTTGATGAGCCCTAATCGAGAAAAGAAAACAAGACAAACATCAACAATCCTCATTTTTCAACAACATCAATCTAGGATAGCTAAAAACTTCAACCCCTAAATTCGCATCAAACAGACCTTTTCTGTCCATCCGCTTTTAGAGGATGTTGATGCCGAAGGTTGAGCTAATAAAAAAGAAAACAACAAACCCAGTTCAATTTTCTAAATGAAAAACAAATAATCATATCTTAGACGAAAGAGACTTACATAGGTACAGGTTTCTTCTCTGCTGTAAAAATGTTACTGGAATTTTTTTGATGGTTGAGAGAGGAGAAAGTGATGAGAGAGAACAAAAAACAATTTTATAGAGGAGATATTTATGCAACAGTTCCTTCAGTCAACAATTGTGGCGTGAGAATGAGATATTTATGAACAGTGAAAAAGTGATGGAGTATAAGGATGGAAATGTATAATTGTGTGGTGGTGGAGGAAATAAGGTTATAATAAATAAAGTATTTTAAACAAAATTCAGTTGGGAGTGAATTGTGCAGAGCAATTGCTCTCTGCACTTGCTCCGTAGAGTAAGGAGCATTTGCTCCGCACTCTATGTAAAAAAGTTTTATTTTTATTTTCCTTCTGGGTACTAAGAATAATATAGAAAAACAAAATTATTTATATGTTGTATATTTTATTTATAAAAAAAATACGATCCTAATACATTATCCTCGATGAAAATACATCTTCTTTGATAATCACAATATAGGATATCATTAATCTTCGGTTATATAATGGAATTTCTTATTTTTAACGGAAAAACTAACGGAATTTGTTGTTTTAACGGACTATGTAACGGAATTTCTTATTTTAAACAGACAGTTGCACCTTCTTTCAGTGTTTTTATCATAACTTTGTATTCCGCTATCCGATTGAGGCGATTCAAAATGTGTTGGAAAGTTAACTCATCTGACTACAACTTTGATTCTGACATCATTCTCCAATTCGATCACTTTCTATGACAAAAATAGGTCTCAATATGAGACTAAAATATTGGAGCATAACTTTTCGATTGGAAATTGATTTGTGATCATCTTTTGACTAAATTTGATTCCATTGATGTCTTCCTTTATCCAATTGACTCCGAGCATTCTCAAATCTTCATCGTGAGGTTCGGCACAACTTTTAAGTATTTACATTTTAGTCCCCGAACTTTGGATCCCTTACAATTTAGCCATTTCTCCAAATTTGTCAACTTTTGCTTATTTTCTTCGAT